GAACTCGATTGGAATTTATTGTTAATGTTTAGATAGTTCTTGGCAAATGTTGTGTATGCCTATAATTGGCAAGCATATTAATATTGATACCACTGTTTGTTACGTGTTATGATGCGAATTGTTATATATGTTTTGCTGTTGGTGTACCCCTTTATAAAAAAAAACAAAAATCGTTGGTTGACATGACATACCTAATTAATAATGCGTGCACCGGTGCCTTTGCCGTCGCAGTAGCGGCCTGCGCGCGTGCGTTGTTTAAAAGAATCCATCAGGGGCTATTAACCGTGTAATCCGATGCATAACTTAATTAAGCAGTATAATGAGCATAGCCTTGCGCCTACTGCCATTAGATGCATTGGCCAATCACTGGCATATGGTGTAAGTTCGTATACAATGACTGTATTGTGTACAATATGATAAAGATTTGATGACTGTGTTACGATCTATTCATCAGTCATCGTATAAATAGCAAAGTCTGAAACATTTATTGTTTGTAACGATTGCGATATTTACGAATATTTAATTGGATTATTCTTGTACAGTAAGTGAATACATTTCACAATTTAATCCTTTTGCCAAATACGTATAGATACAGTCCATAAAGGTACAGGTCTATCATTGAAAAGCAATATGAAAATCTTTTACGATGGAGCCCCAAATAAATCGCCCAAAAAGCTAGTACATAAGTAATACTTAAAAATGTAGCAAAACCTTTAGAAGTCACTTCGTATATAAACGTAGCTAGGATCTATTACTATTCGTATCTACGTCTCACCATCATCGGTCATCATCGCCAGTACAATACGCCACAGTTGATCCTAGTCGCTTGCCAATAAACGTCCATATAACATGAAATTGTTGTGTTACCTTATGTACACCATACCAATTGTGCTTCATGACGTCGGCACGCGCACGGTGTACTTGAGGCATTCGGGAGTACGGCCGGTTGACGAACCCAGGTGTAAACGAGTCACAAGAAATTATATTACGCTAACATTGCCACACATTCAAGCATTTCTGATGAGTTGTTTTTCCGTTTCATAAAAAATTAACAGCTCTCCATCAACTTTTACATTTACTGTTCTAGCTCGTCGTAATCATTCAGTTTTAATGTCAGCCAAATAAGTAAACATAAATTATGATCTACCTCCTCTCAAGCACAAGGTCATGAGTTCGAATCTAGGCTGAGTTTTTCGGAGTTTATGCGCGAAATTAAATTTGAAAACTACCATAAGCTTTTCGGTGAAGGAACACATAGTAAGGAAACTATACACATCTACAAAGCAACTTAATAATGTGTTCGAACTGTTGTCCAAGTCCTTTTATTGTAAGAGAGGCCTGTACTAGCAGTGGGAGTATGGCTAACTATTAAATTATAAGTGGAATTATGATAACCGTAAAATTTTTAAATGAGATAGGTTTCATTGCAGCAATCGGTAATTTCTTATAATTCATTTATATGCACGCAATGGCAACGATCTATGCTATTGAATTTTAGATAAAATTCGAACCGTGACTGCAAAGTGGCGAAAGGTTGTTAAGTTATTTTAAGACAAAGCCTACTCATTCAAAGATTGTCGCTTGTCGACTTTGGTTACTTCTTTTAGCCTTGCGAACACGCGTATTCTGATTGAATTTCGAATCGAATGTTTACTATTTACGCTAACTGGAGTAAGATTGGAATCGACCTTTGTTACTTATTGTATTATATAATTACCAGCTATTTATTGATAGAACATTGTTGTAAATGCAGTCAGTGCTAGGACATCGATTCAAACCAGTATCTGTAGGTCTTCTGTTACTTCTACACTGCAATGTGAGCACATATAATCAGGACGTGGTCGGGTAAGCGAGGTGGGTCTGTATAAAATGTTCCGACTTTGCACAGGAACGCTCACATAGCCTTGTGCACAGCGCGACCTTATATCTAGTGAAATTGAACCGGTACTTGTGCGCCGGTCCAGTAGCACTAGAGTGAGACTTGCAATAGAATCGTGGGACATTTTCCAAATAATAAATAGATAAAGTTAAATACTTAATTCATTTACATTTCGGATCTGGTGTATAATTACTTATTTTTGTAGCTGTCCTTTCTTGAACCATATTAATGCATTAAATTAAAACACTATATTAATGTGATTATGTTAATCATTGAATACAAATTTTGTTTTTGGGTTTTTGTTGTAAAATATACTTATTAACACTCATCTTGATCGCTTATCCGTTGATTAATATCCGCATGTCGATGGTAATTGTCAAGAATTTGTACGGAAGTGGACTCTCTTCCGACTTGTGTAATTGAATTTAACAGTAGCTCCTTTGCATGGGCGATTAAGCGAGGTGATCATGATTGTGACTCATGATCACCTCGGTTAATGACCCATGCAAAGGAGCTGAAACATATTACCCGACGAGTGTTTCGTAGACTAAAGTGGAGAAAAAGACGTACATGTCAAAATAGCTATCTATTATATGTATATGTATTATGTATATTTTACCTATTTATTAGTATTTTCATGAGGTAGAGATAGAGGCGCAGCGACTCGGTACGCGTGAGAGTGCCTTCAGAGGCGAAAGTGATCGTCGTATCGCGTTGCCTCATCGAACTACAGTTGTACGGAATCGGTATGCGTAATAAACACCCACGCTCCGATTTTCGTCGTCAATTTCTCATAACGACACACATTTGTAACTATTGCTATCGACAATGAAGTCGTGTTTTGTGACCTACAATAGCAATCGTTCTCACCACTTCTTTACGCTTGTGCTACTTACTATACAGGAACTAGAAACCTTATTGAGAGGACTATGCAAATACAATCTGTTAGGAAATGTAGGTAATAACAAAATGTTCCTACTATTTTACTTTGAAGCTAATTCGTTACATAAATAAGTTTAAAGGGCCTGAGCAATTACGCTACACTCTTTGCAGCAATTGTTGGGTATCTTAAGTACCTATCTACCTTTTGTGATAGTTTTGGAATGCCATGACGAAATGTACAGATGAGTCAGTACCCTATAGCTTGCGACTGAGGCTTGCAGGCGGCTGTAGGCTGATCGCAACGCGCAGATGACATCTTGCTGACTCACGGAGCACTGACTCCTAATGCACAAATGTAACTGGCTTTCGTAACTTATTGTCTAAGCAAATTTTACAAATACTCCTCTCCTTTGTTACAGATGTTTGTTGGTCTATATCATGTGCCGAGCACATGCTGAAGTCGACATTATAACAGAACCTCGACCAGGTGAGGAATACGTGTTAGTTAGTTCTGGTCCGCAGACTCCTATAAGAAATTTTGAAACCTCACATAAAATACCAGAGAAACACCCACAACACCGCATACTTCAATCTGAAGAAGGAAACGAAAAAATTACGAAGAAACTTCATAGCGGTAAAGTTAAACAACCCACTGAGGGAATCGTTGCTATCGAGGAGGACAAGAAAGAACCTATTAAAAAAAGTCAGAAAACGAAATCCTCGGAAACTATAGAAGTTGATGTACCTGTATCCAAATTGGAGGAAATCAAAATAAAAGAAAATTTTAAGGATGTAGAAACCAATCCTAATATGGCTGTTGATCTGGAAACAATGGCGGAATCTGGAAAACTGCTAAATACAGCCGGGAGTACTACACAGAAACCAGTATTGACAACTACCCCACCAGCTGCTAACAAAGGTTTTGATTACATTCCCATAAATTTCGATACTATCGACGATATTAATAGTGGTCTTTTGTCATCAAACGTGAAGTTGGACACAGCCGGTTCTGAACAGAAACAGCACTCGCGTATCCAGATCAAAAAGGGACCCAATGGTCAGGATTACGAATACGAATATGTTTACTACTATTATGATGAAGAGGATGGTCAAAAGGAGAACAAAGATAAGCAATCTTCGACAACTGTCGCTCCAGTACATAATTCACATGATGGCCCCCAGAAGACAGAATCCGACAATCAAATAGCAAAAGAGACTAAACCAAAAAGCAAATACAGTACTATCGACAGATCTAGTACGACTACAGTGGCCACCCCCGAGATTCAGAATGAGGTTACTCCCACCCCGAGCAGAGGACGCTCCCGCGGTCGCACCGTTGCGCCTGCGCCAGTTGAAGAAGAAATCGAAGAAGACAGGTACCGATAAAACATTTTATTACTTAAAATTACATTGATTGCTTATTTACAATCACCCGTTCACTGTGATGTTTTTTGTGTCCAAGATTGCCATCCAGCACCCGGTTCCCTCCCCGCGGTCGCAATTTGGCCGCATCATCTTCGACGACTTATGTACCCGAAGTATCATCGGAAACGGCGAAAAACCGCGGTCGCCCTCAACCTGACAACGTCGCTGACGAATCCATTGGTCAGACAAGGAGCAGAACTCGTTCTCATATCAGGTAAACCGCAGACTTTGTTTTTATATCTTCGCCGCCGGTACGCCTCGAGTTCCCGGAAGAATCAAATTTTTGTTACGACTAACGGGACTAACAACATTTACGTAATTGGATCGAACAAAACACATTTCAACTTTAACTGCTTAGTTTGATCATTATTATCTCATAAATTTCAGGCGACCTAGTTCAGAGTTAGTTGATTTGGACAGTTTCAAAACGCACTCAGCAGATATTCCTTCACAATACAGAGATATACCAACCAGATACTCCTCTGAAAGCAAAACAACCACTGAACTTCCTGAAGCTTTGTCGACAGCTAAAGAGCCCTCACACACCAAAGATTCTGCACGCGAGGGCCATAGTTTGCCGGGAGGAGTTAGGTTCCAAGAAATATTAGATGACTCCAAACTTCCTGCGGATTACAAAACGACAACATCCACCGAGCAAGATACTACAGAATACACAACGATGACTGCGATGGAAAAAGTCGCATTAGATTTGTATGCGTATTTGGCAAGAGAGAATTTGAATAATGAGGTCGGCGACCCTGTAAATTTCGACGGCACAACTACTGTTGACGATGAAGTATACACTACGGAGGCTATGAGCACGGCCGAGGACGCAACCACGACGACCACCACGACCACGACAACAACTACTACAACGACCACCACACCGACGCCAACGACTACAACTACCAGCACAGCGGCACCTGGTCGTCCATTGAGATTCAAAGGTGGCCGCGGCGGCGCTAGAAACCGTGTTTCTACTACATCTACTGCTACTGAAGCACCTCTGGAAACATCAACAAGAGCACGAGGTAAATATAATATTTTATTTCTAGGAATTTGTTTCGACGTAGTACGTTTCAATGTCGCGCTCATATCTAAATAAATAACAGTGTATTACCAAAAGTTTGCTTATAAATCTATAATGTAACTTAATAATGCCTCGATGACACGTGCTGAGAATCAAAATATGTCATCGTGAAAAAAAAATACTGCGATAATTATGTGTTGGGAATAAGCAGGTACCTCGTAAGCTAATAAATATAATATGTAAATGTACGCGACTTCATCTAGCAGTTGAAATATTCACAATAATACAAGTTAGTCCGGGGAAAGTTGCCAGTTGTGCGTAGATTTGTATCACGACATTGTCGGCTATACTAGTCACACTATTTCACAATTTATATTATTATGATTATTTATTTGATTACCAATACCTGCCTTAATTATTTAAAGTATGACGTGTAATATTTTTATCGTAAATGCTATGCGAAATATCTCACATTGTCATGATCTTAACGCTTAGCGACAGACGTATTAACCAATTGCGAATTGTGTTGTATATTTTAATATGTTATAAACATACACTCCCGGACACATAATTAGAGCCACCTCGCATTTTCAGTATTGAATGCCCTAAAATTAAACAACGTTTGATTGATCAAAAACTATAAGCAATTTTGAAATCAGTATACTAAACTTCCCAATCCGAGCAGATTATTGATATGTCTGTATTTTAACTAACTGAAGTGCGTTGTTTTAATGTCTTTGTGTCTTGCGTGACTGACGTACGTATATTCAAGGTTAAAAGACGTATTCACAATCTTTGCATAATTTACGCTTTACAGCACAATATGAGGCCAACCCGTAGGACCAACCTGTTGGGTGCCTACTGCAATTTCTGTGTAAAAAAAACTGGTTTCCTATGGATGATATATTTCTACATTTGTTTCCTTCTTCTTTTAGAAATATTCAACTTCAGTTTGTACGTGATATTTAAATATTATTCTTTAAATTTTCACACGTAAAATAACATGTTCCTTGTAATAATAAGCAGCATCTTACTAAAAGGAACGTTTTTATTTTCACGTGGTATACTATGCATTCTCCAATACAGTCCATAAGATGCATCGTATAATGTACAGTCAGCATTAAAATTAACAAACTAAATCCAAATTTCTATACTATATATCACTGCAGAGCTCAAACATGTTACCTAAGTAGTATATTTAAGGTACGTTTGTGATTGAACGCAATTGAAAACACTTTGCACCTTGAAATAACTGACATAATGTAGTTATTTTATAAAATGTAGGTACCTAGAAGTTTTGAGCAGACTGAACATGTAAATTCAAGTAAATACATATATCTTCATTGACGACCTCCGCGGTCCAGTGGCTTGCACACCGTTGTTCAAGGTGTCGCCATCTCTGAAGTTCCGGGTAGGTATTATTCCTGGCCGGATCAACGAACCGTTCTATATTATTGTCTCGGGTCTGGATGTTTGTGGTACAGTCGTTGTTTCCGTTTTCCATAACACAAGTGCTTTACTTACTTACTTTGGGATCAGAGCAACGTATGTGGTGTTGTCAAATATTAATTTTGTTATTTATTTATTATCTGATTAGTTTCACTGTACAGATTGTTCTGACGTTAAAAACGTAGATACTTATTAAAACGTACCTTACATGTGTCGTGTGGAGTATGAAGCAGCAAGAAAATAATCAAATGACAATAATGACTATTGATAATAAGTATATTTGGCGATATAAGAATGAGTTAAACCTACACCATCGATCTAGAACACCATGTTCTTTCACATAATGAAGATCAGCTCTGGCGTAGACCAAGCTTATTCCCCTCCACACATATTGAACTGTTAATAGAAATTAAGAAAGTCCATAAGGTCGGTTAGGTAAGTTTCTCTAGCGGGCTCTCGGTGAATCGTGCAATTATGAGTCTTCATATAGAAGCAAAGAGACTTCACAAACAATTATTACAGTAATGTATGTTCGATATTTTATTTCTTTTACTCAGGCACGTCATACTCGTAAAAAAGTCCATTTAGTCGCAATTAATTACTACAATACAGTGGAGCACATCGCAAGATACGCAATGAATCGATTTGTTGAAATTTGTTCTTTAAGTAGTAGCAGTAGAGCTCCTTGTGAACTAGTTCGTCCTGGGAAGTACTGCCACTTTACCTATTTCTGTCGCCAATCAGTAATGTGAACATTACTGTATTCCGGTTTGGAAGGTTAAGGGTGCTGGTGAAATTACAGGCACATGGGACTTGTTAACTTATATCTCAAGATGACGGGCGCAGTGGCAGTGCCCCTCAGGTCTTTGCGATTTAAAGCCCGGGAGTGGCACTGCAACTCTTATGGAGAGGCGTGTCGCTTACCACCAGGCGCACGACTTGTTCATCCCGTCACTTGGTATTATAAAAAGAAATGTACGTACATGGCGTTCAAATTCGCGACTAGAAAAAAATAATTCAAATTTGTATATTGAGAGTATTGTACATTATAGTAATAGTAATAACTGTAACATGGTAGACATTAATGTTGTTGTACATATTGACAAATAAATACGCTTTTAATTGTCTGCAGGTCGGTTCAGCAAACCCACGATAGGAGGCCGCAAGACTACAGCGTCGACGCCCGAGGTGTCGACGGCCACTCCTGCTGCAGAAAAGCCAGTCACACCCAAGGTAATAATTTTTCCTCTGTCTTTGCAGGTATTCATTTAATTAAGCATATTTTTAAGCGTATGTGTTTAAATGCAATGCGAATTCATTATATATTATTCTCTCTTATCTACTGGTATTCGATTTGGTAGTATAAGTTGGCGAAATATTATTTGCACCGATTCGTCTTATCTCTTCATCTTTAGAGTACAATAGGACAAAATAGTGAGCCGTTTCGGTCACTATATCTAATATCTATAATAATAATAAGAACGAGGCGAGAGTCTAAAATTAATTTAATAATAATAATGATGTATGTATTTCCAAGCGTTTGTTCACAGCGAAAACTTTAAATCCAAGATTATATTAGAACATTAAGTACAACATATATTTCCTGATTCTCAAAGTACACACACCTGTGACATGAGAGCCAGTGTTCCTCCGTGTAAATCTCCGTGTATCTGTATATAGTGCAAACAACTAGTTTAAATACTTTTACACATTGGCACCTAATTCTAAACTTGATAAACTTTATACGTAAATAACTTGTTAAATTGGTAAAGAGTAGGCATTCGGTACTTTACACAGGGGCACTGCAACTGTTATGGACAGGCGTGTAGCTTACCGTCAGACACACACGATTCATTAGTCCCGTGACATGATATTATAAAAAAAATGCGCAAAGTCGAAAACGACTGCATGCAATCGACACAGGCGTCATACAGTTATCGCCTCGCGCCTATTTCAGGGGCTCACTATAATATTTATTGATACGATAAGAAAGATGTTTAAATTTTAAAATATACCTATTATGTATTAAGAATCGTGCAAATGATACAAACCCGGTCGAGAAAAGATTCACCAAGCGTGTTTTTGTTTTACCATTAAGTTGATTAAACCCTCATGTAATCGTTACCTTTCCCTTTATTATTCAAGATCAAGATAATAATAATAATAATAATAATAATTTGTTTATTTTCTCCCACAATAAATTTAAAGTAATGGAACAGAGCGTACATATTAAACATTGTGAGAGACAGGAGCCTAAACTAGGTAAGACCTGTATCTTAGGCCTCCTGGTCTCCACCTCTTGGTTGAACAATTCTGTACCTAAAATTTCCAATATACATGGTAAGGGATTAGTTTAACAAATTTATAGAATATAGAAGAAAATATAATCTAATAGAGTGTGGTTGCGTGTGTGTATGTGTTTGCGTTTATGTATGTGTGTGTGTGAGGAGTGCATGTGAGTGTGTGTGTTGTATGTATTTAGTGTGGGTGTGTATGTGGTGTGTAAGTGTGCATGTGTGTGAGTAAATGCGTGGGATGAATGGATGTGCGTACTTGAGGCCTTTATCGCTTGTTACGACATGGTTAAAAGTTTTTCAGTTTCGTCGTAAGTTTTAGTAACTAACCAAGTAACAACTGTATCTTTACATTTATATTTTACCATACTGTATATATTAAGACTTTTGTTTAAAAGGTTGTACAGTCTAGGTCCCTGATGGCAAAAGAATCTATGTGCAAAGGATGTCTTAAATAGTTTTGGGTCGCATACCATATAATGCCTCCTCCTATGTGCGTTTGGATGATGAGCATTAAATATGATCTTCCCATGTTGTCTTAGCACCGTGGCAAGAACATATATTTGTCTGACCGAGAGTAACTTTGTGTCGCGGTATAAGCTAATCGTGGAGTATAGACGTGGTTTAGAAAGGCTAACTTTTAGGATTAGCCTTTGTACTCTCTCCAATTGCAACATATGGGTTTTTGCCGCACCTCCCCATGAGGAAATACCATACGATAGGATCGATTGACATAGCGATAGATAAACAGATTTAAACAATTTAAAATCCAACACATGTCTTAGTTTTTTAAAGATGTATATGAGTTTACGGAGTCTTTGAGTGAGGCTTGTGATGTGCTCTTTGAAGGAGAGGAGGTAATCAATAGTGATACCTAAGTATTTAATATTTAGGGTTTTTTCAATGAACGCGCAGGTACATATGGTGGAGCTCCAATTAGAGCAAGAATGTGCCCGAATGTTATAGCTGAAAGTTAAGGATTGTTGACCACCGACACAAAATGCAATGTACTTAGTTTTCTCGGTGTTTAGAGTTAAATAGTTAGCTGCAAGCCAATTTCTTACTATATTAAACCCTTCCTGCGCACAGTCAAAGACGCCCTCCCAAGTATCATGGTAGAATGTCAATGTGGTGTCATCTGCATATGAAATAATTTTGCAGTTTCTAAGTTTCATTTGACACAGTTCATTAATGTAACAGAGAAAAAGGGTAGGACCGACAGTGCTACCTTGAGGCACTCCGTAATAGACGTTTGCATCCTGACTAAGCACTGAATCAATTTTTACTCTCTGAGTTCTATCTTCGAGGTAGCTGCGTATAAGAGAAAGTTGTGTTCCTCTTATACCCAGCGCCTCAAGTTTATCGATGAGAAGATGTTTCAGATAAAAAAAAATGTGTATTCTCTTAACAACGTCAAGTTCTTTTAATCGTCATGAATGTCAACTGCTACTTTTGAATCTCGGACTATATCGGTCACATCGACTGCAACCGAAATTGCAGCTGAACTCTAAACTGCATACAGTAACTGCAGACGTGCAGTCTATCTATTGGCAGACTAAGTATTAGGGGTTAAAGTATGAAATTGCCGTTTTATTGCAATA